TATTTTCTAGTTCACTGCACTGACTCATTCTGTTACTTCCCTTTTTGCTGTTAAATCCAATCCATCCATTTAAAAATGTTCAGTTTCTGTAATTTTTATTTCTGCGATTTCTGTCTTTCAAAAATCATTTCTGTATATGCTCAGGTTGCCTATCTTTGTATTCACTGAGAACATATTTTCATTGCTGCTTTAATATCCTGTCTGTTAATTCCAGTACCCGGATCATCTCAGCCTTACTGTCGGTTTTGAATGTGGAGATTGTGGTTTCCATCCTCTCCCAAGAGTGATAGTTTCTTCATTTTATCAGGCAGTTAGCTTGGTTGGATACACGCCACAAACCACACTTACTGGGTGGTGGCAACAATCTCAGTTTAGACTGTGTCCTTAGCTGAGCTGCCTTGAGTCTGCATTGCACATGTGTGGTCCACAGCTCGGACAGAGGTGCGCACGGACAGAATTGGGGGATTCCTCCCCTCTCCGGTTCTTTCCCTCCTGAGATCCCCATCTTTCTTGCCAGCGGCTGTAGTTGTCCTGATGCAATACCCTGGTACTGTGATTTTCCAGCGGCATATCCCACATACCACTTTGCCTGCTACCAACTTACAAGTAGCAAAATTAGGGAACTTTCTCTGCATAATTCTCCTCTTGTGGGTGTGGACTTCCCATCAAACTTTTGCTTCCTTTCGTTCTCCAGTGTCTTCAAGTAGCTGTTTGTTTTTCGTGTTTGTTTGTTTTTGGATTATGTCCAGATTTTACAGTTGTTATTTGTGGAAGGCTAGTTCCCACAGGATCTTACTCAGCCCTTATTAGAAGTTAATAGGTTACTTTATCTATTTCCTCCATATTTCCCTCTATTTCTCAAGCATATCGTACTTTAACTTCTTGTCTGCTTTCTTAAATATTTAGATTACCTGTTTGTATTTTCTACTTTTATTCTTGTTTTAAGTAACGTGGTCCTATCTTTTGACTATCTAGTGATTTTTTTATTGGATCCAGAAATTGTGTATAAAAATTTATAGTGTCTCAAGATGTTTTCTCCACTCTTTCCTTTGCTAGGGGGGTGGAATGGGTAGACGCCTTGGTCCACCCTTTGGGGGACTGTATGGTTTGAGGCAGTGCTGTGATTCTGATAAGCCTCCATCAGCCTGTTTCATCTTGTTCCTAGTTAAGAGCCCTCCTGAGCTTTCAACTGAAACCCCTGTATGCTCCCCAGTCCCCACCCCCTGCCAAAAGTTCTGTTCTGCTTCTCAGAGGCTTGAAACTTAGCTTTTTATAGACTCTGTCCCTAAACAGCTTTGGACTTAGGTAAACAACTGGAGGAGAAATCGTGTTATGTGTTTAGGGCTCCTCCGGTTCCCAGCTTCGTCCATCAGTCTGAGATCCTTAAGCTCCACTGACCTCTCTGTCTGGGCAGTGCTTGGATTCCGACCTATTGTTCGAGCCCAGAATCAGCCAGTCCACCCCGGGTAAAATCTGTTGCAAATTGTCAGCTCACCTGGCTATATGATTCTCCCTACTTTAGCACTTCAGGCCTTCCAATCTGCTTTACTTCAGCAATTCTCTGAGGACTTTTTAAAAGTCCTCAGGTATTTATATTTTTATCTGTTTTCTTCTAGTTCCTGACAAGAGAATTATCAACCAGAAGCAACTCCATCCTACTAAAAGCCTATCAGCATTTTTAAAGTGTTTACTTTCTTTCTCTGAACTTTGAAAGCTATCCCCAAGAAATCAATTTACATTCTATCTTAAAAACATATTCCTACTGCTAAGTGAAAAAACCCCAAATTATTTTATGACATCTTCCCCGCAATTACAACAGTGTGTGAAATACATATGCATACAGTTGTCCCTTGGTACGTGCTGAGGATTGGTTCCAGGACTCCCGCGGGTACCAAACTGCAAGGATGCTCGAGTCCCTTATAAGAAATGGCAATGGCACAGCACTGTGTATGCCTATAACCTACGCACATGCCCTCGTGTGCAGTGGAACCTCGATTCTCGAACTCAATTCATTGCAGAAAACGGCTAGAGAAGTGATTTGTTCACAAATAGAATCTCCTCTGTTGCCTGAGGGACACATGACTGCTCATACAGGTATCAGCACGAGAGGGCTGTTGGGCAGAGAACCGAGACCCAAAGTTTCGTTGGACCACCACGACCTTTTTCTCCATAAACTACTTGGTCGAGAACTGACTGGTTCCAGAACCAAGCTTTCAAGAACTGAGGTTTGACTGTACTTTGTATTGTTTCTAGATTACTTAGGTACAATACCTAATGCAATGTAAATGCTGTGCAAACAGTTGATATACCGTATTGTGTAGGCAATAATGACAAGAAACGGAGTCTCTACGTGTGTGGTCCCGACAACCATGTAGGCCTCACCACACAGCACACATCAGCTACGGTGTCTTTTTTCTGAGTATTTTCCATCTGCAGTTTTTAAACCCCTGGATGAGGAACCCGTGGACATGGAGAACTGACTGGATTCAAGGATCTGAGATGAATGAGTGGGTAGGATTGCGGCATTTTGGGGGGTAAAAATGTTTCTGAAATATTACTTCTATAAGAAGTATGTGAGTAAATTGGATTGTCGAGGAGGGAGGGAGAAGAAACTCAGTGGTTGAGATAGAGCAGTGGGAAGACCAACTGCGTAAGTCTTTTTACAACTTGAATTTTGTGCAGTGTAGACTTGTCAGCTATTAAGAAAAATAAACACATATGCACACAGTATCTCAGAGACTCATGGGGCCACAAAGAGCCCCAAACACTGCGAGGAGACAGGTGTTTGGCCGTCCTCGCCAGCTGTGAAACAGCAGAGAACAAGCCAGTCCTGGTTTGTTCGGAGGCACAGAAAACGGCCTTTCCAGGAAATTAATGAGCGAAGGGGATTATAATACTCCTGCAAGAGCCTTTATGAAAATATTCAAAAGTGGGCTATTGACTGTCTTTTTTTTTTTTTTAAACAGATGAAGGGATAGTAGGTAAATGGTGGCTTTGTTAGGGCTTTATAGAGCATTTGTTCTGATTATAGGATATGGATCTTGGACATTTTTTATTTGAACCTTTTCTTTTAAAATATCTGGTAAAATCTTGGCAGCACAGCAGGTCTCTCTCTCCCCAGAACTTTAGGCTTTCAAACCAGGGACCAGCACACTATGGCCTGGGGAAAATCCAGCTTGTTCTTGTACCTGAAGCAGAATTAGGTTAGCTTTGTACCCTTCAGCTGGGATTAGAATGATCTTTTTACATCATTGAGAAAAATAAAAAGAAAATTATTTTTTTTAAGATTTTATCTATTTATTTCTAGAGAGAGGGGAAGGGAAGGAGAAAGAGAGGGAGAGAAACATCAATGTGTGGTTGCTTCTCATGTGTCCTGCACCAGGGACCCTGCCCTCAAGCCAGGCATGCACCCGGGCTGGGAATTGAACCAGTGATCTCCAGGTTTGCAGGCCAGTGCCCAATCCACTGAGCCACACCAGCCAGGGCAAAAGAAAATTATTTTAAGACCATTTGAAAATATGAAATGCAAATTTCAGTGTCCTAAAATAGTTTTATTGGCACACGGCTGTGTTCATTCATTTATGTATCACTTATGGCTGCTTTCATGCTATAATGTTGAGTAGTTGCAACAGACCACATAGCCCTTGAAATCTGAAACATTTGCTGTGTGGCCCTGCACAGAAAATGTTTGCCAGCCCTGTGTCTATGAATAACAAGTTTCACAGAGCGACTTTCTGCGGGGGCAGACCCACAGCGCTTGGCCCTTCCTGTATCTGTGCCCGTGGCCGGGGAACTTTTCTGTGCTGTGCTCTCCCACTCTGAGCCTGGGCCCGGTCACGTGACCTGCTGTGACCGAGGGGAGTCTGAGAGACACAATACAAGCAGAGGCTTGAAATGGAATTGCACACTGGGGCTTGTTCTCCTGCTCCCCCGCCCCTGTCCCGTGAACAGACCCAGGCCAGTCATGGATGGGTCATGTGAACCTGAGCTGTACAGCCCAGTCATTCCAGGTGAGGTCAGCCTAGGTTAGCCAAGAGCCAGGGGTCCCAAGATCATCACAAGCTGCCTGGATGACCCACAGCTGACCACAGACACATGAGCAAGCCCTGCAGAAGTCACCCAAGCCCAGCCAGACCACCTGAACCCCAAGACTCGAGAGCCACATAACTGTGTTGCCATATGCCACTGAGGTCTGCCGGTGGTTTGTCACACGTTACTCTGGCAATAGAAAACTGATGCTAAGGGCACGTGAATTTTAAAAATTTCATTTACCAAAACAGGCTGAGGAACATTCTTACTCCTCTGAAGGCAGTTCAGGGTTCTGACAGGGACAGAGTCTGAATAAGGCACAGAAGTCTGGGACTATGGGGGTGGGGACCAGGCATCAGATGACATCATGAATTTCTGCAAAAATGTCTTGTATGCCTGATGGGACTCAGTAAATTTTATCTGTATTTGCTCTGTGGCTCAATGTGCACATTGAGTCAAGGCTAGGACTTGGCATGCCTCTTAATCGCCAAGAGATCTAGACAGACAGACAGACTCCAACATTTATGGAAAAATTCAATTTATTTCCTATTTATAAAATGTAAAAAGAAAAGTGCCTTGGGCATAAAATCTAAGTGGCCAATGTGCAATCAGCCAGGAGCACAGAAATATCCCTCTTTGCATTGTTTGGTTCTTAGTACGTGTGCAGAGCGTGTGGTGCGGGGGGGCCCCTGTGCCAGGCTACGTGGGAAGCTCCCCAACGACAAAGCCATGGGGCCCTGTGAGGAAGAGGGGGCAGAAAGGAGCGGGGCAGACCTGAGACATTACGTACGTTCTGGAGTCGGTATTGGGAGCACTTTCACTTGCGAGAGGATAATCGTCCTTGGCTGAATGAACACAACTGGCCCGAGCCTGTCCTAGGAAAGTCCAGCTCTTCCTGGAGCACAGGGCCAACCTCCCCCTCGCAGAACCACAAACGTGGCTTCCATCAGGAAGGAGAGGCATCCATCAGTGTGACAGGTCACCTTCGGACCTGCGTGAACTCCCTGCGCAGCCACGCGGAGTCCTGGTAGAAGCGAGGATCGCCCAGCCGCACAGCTGTCCGTTTGTAGAAGTAATAGTACAACACTGCCGCTGTGGACGGCGAGCGGAACAGAGGCCTCAGGGGTGCCCCTGAGCACTCGTTTCAGGTGAGAACTTAACCTAAGGGGACTGGGGGGGGCCTGCCTCATGATTTCCCAATGGCTCCCTGCAAGGCAGAGGGCAGTAATCTGTCCTGTTCTTGGTGTGGTGGTTCCTTTCGTCCCAAGTGGCTGTGATGGGCTGGCAAGCCAGGACCAAGGTCCTCACCACCAAAACCATAGGGGGGACCACCGTGGGGTTGTTGCTCTGGCCCTTACCTAGCCTCTGGGATACAAAGAGCGTCTGAAGTCCATCTGTCCAGACAAAGCGGTTGGAGTCTTTCCAGCGTAAGTTCTGAAGGAGACATGAAGGGAAAGGTTAATGGCCAGGTGAGGCCCTAACACCTGCAGCTGGGTTACCTGCAGACACTACTGAACTGGAAATCAGGCTAGTCTCACCCTTCTTTCTTCCCACACCCCCACACTGTGTTTCTCAAAGGTGCCTCAAGCTCCCTTTTTTTTGCTGTAAAGCAAATATCCTTTCTAACTCTAAGGGAGGAAGTTTGAACTAAGCTATTTATATCTTTCACTCCATAGCCTTGGCCAAGGAGAAAGGATACACATGACCTCCATTCCTCGTGGTCACTGTCTTGCCTTGAAAATCTCAGACTCAGCTCCTGCCAGATAAAAGCTCTGTGCACTCGGACTTTAATCAGATTGCCGGCTTTACAGAACAAAGCCAGAACCTATTCAGCTCCAGGAACCAGAGCAGAGACTGTCTTCTTTAGGAAGCAGCTAGGGACTTGGGCAAAGCCCTGCTTCTTTCCTGAGAACTCTCTTGCTCTCTGTGGAGTCACAGGACAACCTGACAGAAGGTTCAGTATGAGGAGGCGGCTACAGTGCAGAAATAACTAGAGAACCCTGAGGTTTTAATGTGTTCCATCGAAATGAGGATTTGAGAAACACACGAGATACCAAAAAAGATGGGAGGATTTGTGAAGCAGAAGAAATCTGAAACCACAAAAGCTGGATCTGCCTGGAGGCCTAGATCTCAGGGCCAAACGGAGGCCTCTCGGAGGGTGTTCTCCCAGTGTGCGTGAAGGGCTGCAGCAGAGGGCGTGAAGCACAGGAAGGCAAGCAGCACTCAGGCTTGGCTGCTTCCCTTGGGACATAAATGCCCTGTATCTACACCCACCCAAACCACCGGCGATGAAACAGATTCAACTTCCTGTTTTAGCCCTTGTAGATCTGTTTGGGGCAAAAGTGAACTGAAGTATCCCTCGACTCTCGGATAAGGCAGTTCTTCAACACATAAGGTCAGGCAAAAGTACCTCAGGAAACTCACACACTTAGCTCCAGGCCAGACCACATTCTTTTCTTTTTTTTTTTTAAATCGAGGATTCTGTGAGGTGTACAAGAAGGACACTGGATTTCCAGAAGAAAGACATTCCTGCTCCTTCAGAGATTGGGAATTCACTGTTCCACTCTTACCATGACCCAGATGTGAAGGGAGATGCTGAGGGCGAAGTACACAGCCGCCAGGATGATGGTGCCTTTGAACTTACGGAACAGGAGGTTGACCAGGCCAGCCTGGAAGACGAAGGTGTTGAAGAACATGAGGAAAATGATGATGATGTTGAAGAGGATCGCAATATCCTGGATGCTGCAGGCACATAAAACAAAGTACAGCCAAATGGAGGCCTGTGAGGACCCAAGAGCTGGCCCTACATCCTAAAGAGCACCTTGTGGCCTGGCCTTCCCTGTGACAGTCCTCTGAAACCCCCACAGAGGTAGCATGTGCTTTGGGGCCCCGAGTGGCATGAAGCGAAACTCCCCAGTGGCCCCGTCAGGTGAGGTGCAGCCCACAGACCAGCCTTTCCTGCTGACACTCTTAACAAACCTCTTAGGCAAAAGTGAGGAGAAGCGACATGCCCCCCCTACGTCCAGAAAATGCCAGCCCGTCTGTCCCATGACCCAGTCCTGTCGGACCTTTTCGTCTAGCGAGACAGTGCCACACCTCCTCTGACCTTTGCGTGGCCAGTGCCTTAGTGCCATTCAAGTGGCAGTCCTGCTCTTCAGAAAGACTTTCCTTTAGCCTCCTTACCTAAAGCAGCCCTTGCCTCCCCACCCAGCTACTTTATACCCATTGTAGGACATCTATCACTATTTGAAATGATGTTTGTTTTTTTCTGATGCATCCGTTATCTCCCTCCACTAGAACGGAACCCCCAGGAGAGCCGGGACTGGTCAGATTCACCACTGCACCCGGCACACTGTCCGGCAGGCCACGGACATCTGTGAAACATGGCAGCCTGTGTCCAAGACTGTGGACTCCTGTCTGGAACTCACCTCATGGAGTCTCTGTAAATTATTTTCAGGGAAAATGCCAATAGCTTCAAACTTATGAGACTCATAGATTATAAATATGATTACCCTCTTCACCTGCCATTTTACAATCGTCTTTCACGGCAACGTAAGATCAGATTTCCACTCACAGGCATGGAAAACAGTCGGGCTGCAGTCTGACCCTCGTGTTCAACGTGAACTGCTCCCACATCCCTCATTCTGGCCGGAAGGACACATAAATGGCTGTGTGACATGTCTGTGCACCCCGAGACAATGGGAATTCTCCCCTCCGATAGTTTTCCATTACCCACTTTGAAATGCAAAGCCACGACTGTCAAGGCCATCACACTGCCCAGGCCCAGCTGCGTAGCTCTGCCCACTGCACTCACATGAAGAGCACCAGCTGGATGACGGGGGCCGCCCGGAGCAGCTCGGAGAAGGAGTTGACAAAGAGGTCATAGGACAGCAGCAGGAACTGCAGGGACAGCACCAGGCTGTAGTTACTGGTCTGGAGCATCTTCCTTCTGCTCTCCTGGATCCCCACAGGCACATTCCCCAGAACACAGCTCCTGACTGTCCTCTGCGCTGGGGGAGAAGTGTCTAGTTCCTCAGAATCACAGCTGTTTCCTTTGCTCTAAAACAAGAAGGAAAAAAAAATTCAGTAATACAATAAATATTTACTGAGGGCCTACTATGTGCCAGGCACCATTCTAGGTGCTCGGAATACATCTGTGAACAAAACCCCCAACACCACCAACAAAAAACCCCAACTAGTCACTCCTTACAGGGACCCTCACCCTCAAATCTTCCTCCACCCTAGAAACCTTCTAAACTCAGAGCTCTTCCCACCCACTTCGCGTCCAGATGGATCTAGGAGCACCACAAAGGGTGGCTGTCTGGCCGTGTGCTGAGATCAACACTGACGCCCACACTCACTGCAGCACCAAACCTTCCACACCACTCACGATGGGCCAGGGACCAGTCCCAGTGCTGACATTATTAAATCTTACAATACCCGCATAAGGCCGAAGGCACGCTATTCCTCCCCCCATTTTACAAATGGAACAGGTGATTTCCAGAGGAAATAAGTTATCCGATGGGTCACATTGCTTGTAAGTGGCAGAGCCGGGACTCAGATCCAGGCCATCTGGATCCAGAGTCTGTGTGCTCTTAACTATGGCACAGAGTTGTCTGTCACGTTACTGATAGGCTGATGTGTAACCAGGCGGGAAAAATGTTAGCACTGAAGTGGGAAGCAGGGTCGGCAGGAAAAGCTGGGAGGAAATAGTGCCCCCCTGCAAAACTGAGTGTGCAAGGTTATGGCAGCGGCACCATGGGCAGCAGGGAAGGGGGCTGGGCCTGTGTTCCCAAGCTACAAGACCCAGAAGTTGCTCCGGGGGTGTCCTGTGACCCTTTCATCTGGATTAAATTTATAAACAAATTTCAAAATGCTTTGAGGTGTCAGAAATTGGGATTAAATTAACATCTGTAAAATGCTGTACAATTTACAAACTCTTCACGTGTATTACTTTATTTAATCCTACACCCATCTGGAGCAGTCACTGTTGGTATGTATACAATCCCCATCTTACACAGAGGCTCTGAGAGGTTAAGGAACCTCGCTTACCTCACCTGGTGGCAAGTCCCGCCTGGGCGGATGGATGCATGCACGTGGTTTCTCTGAGCCCTGATAGCTCACTCATCAAATATTGACAGTTATCACGTACACACCAGCACCACGATAAACCTGTCAACCGAGGTAATTTCCTCTAACCCTCGCAACCACACCACAAAGTGGGAAAGAATTATCCTCATCCTACAGGCAAGGGCACGGGGTCAGAGTTCAAGTCATTCCTCCACAACTAGGTGTGACACCCACGCCACTACTTCACAGGCCACCAGAGGGCCGTTGTGCGGGTCCGTTACATAGAATCGCCTATCGCCATCTCTAAGAGAAGGATGAGCTTCTCGTCGGGTTCAGGGCAGCGGCGATTCGCGAGGTAAAGAAACGGTCTTCGCAGTTCGTCCGCCGCTCCCTGCCGCGCGTTCCCTTTGTCCCCAGGGCACTTTCCCTCACCTTTCCAAACCCACTTTAAAGGGGGGCTGCCTTGGCAAGAAGCCAAAACCAATACAATAACAACAAAAATTCCGGCTCCTGCACTCTTTACCTACTGATCATCAAGCACTCTCACCTGAAAACCCCAACCTCGGTTGTCATGGGGACACTGTCCCGGCTTCCGGAAATCGATTTTAAATTCCGGAAGTATATGGCGAAGAAGGGCTTGGTGCCTGCTGTGCTACGTTCTGGTTCTAGGTTTTTTCTCCGCGCTCTACGGACAGCTCAATGTTTGGGCCCCCGCTTTCCTGAGCCCGCCCCGCTCCGGGCCCTCTCAGCCGCTGACCGAGGCCTCCTGCCCGGTCGGCGTGTGGCTTTGCTGAGGGCCAGCCCGTGATGCGAGGTTTCGCGTCGCCCCAAACATTTCCGCTTCCACAGGATGGGGAGTAGGGACAGGGCAGACCGTGACAGCGTTGCTGGACTCTGGGGCCCCGGGTTTAGGAATAAAACGCCGGCGGAAGAAGTGGAATTGCAATCAGCTGCTTGGGGTGCTGGGCGTGGGAGACGCCGGACTTCATTTCCCAGGAGGCCGCGCGCGCAACCGGAAGTAATGCGAGCCTTTAAAGGGCGAAGTGGCTTCGCCAGTTCAATCTGGGTCGGTGGTGCCAGCTGTATGCGGTCCTTTCGAGAAATCTCGGACTCAATTCGCCAAGGAACCTCGGGAACGGCGGCGGGCGCCGGGTGGCAGAAGCGGGTCTCGGAGACCCCAAACCCCGCTGCGTCCCACTGTGGTTCGGGGGTGAGAAAGAGCCCGGGCTGGGAGTCCTGGGATCTGGGTTCGAGTGCTGCCTCAGCTGCTATCTCGCTTCGCACTGTCGCGACCCCTCGCTCGGCCTCAGTTTCCTCTTTTAGGAAATGGACACCTTTCTCCGTGCCCTTCCTTCCACCAGTGGTGGTTGTAAAGGCACGAAATCTCTTCGAAAGTCGCAGTCAGCAGGTGGAGTCTCTCGCCTTAATTTTCACCCAGGGTTTGCTGGGACCTCCTTGGTCCCAGCAGGGGAGTCAGGGATTGGTCGGGCGTTCCTGGAATGGTTCTCGGGGCACCTGAACCAGAGCAGAGCATAGTCCAAAGGTCCGTAATCACTCCGGTGCTGAGGAGGACTTTGATTATCTGCCTCCCGACTGGAATTTAGGACCCCTCAGTCCTGACTTCACAGGAGCCACGCTCAGAAGTGAGGAGTCCTTGGATCTGAGGGGATGAACGGGAGTCCTGTGCCAGCTCTGCTCCTCACCTCGGCCAAGGCACATTCTTTCTTTGAGCCCCATATTTTTTTAGTTTAGAACTTGAAATTCTGAATTCCTAAAGCCATTCATCTGGGAAGGGAGAGCAACAAAATGACTTTATTCTTTCATCTATTTGTGGTTCTTAATTATAACTAATATTGTAAGAGTTTGAAACAGAGCCTTTTCCTGGCCAAGGGCTGAATGGGAAATACTTGTTGCACTTGCTTTGTTGCGCTTCACGGGCTGTTGTATTTTTTACAAATGAAGCCAAGACCCTCCACCAGCAAAAAGATGACAATGGCTTTATTGCATTGCATGCCCATGTTACTGCTGTAGTCTGGAACCAAACCCATAATATCTCCAAGGTATGCCTGTACTCATTTTCTACCCCGGGACCTGGCCTGTGATCACGCAGCCTGGGAGAGTCCTTTCTGCCTCTGTGGTTGAGGAGAGTATTAGGTTCGTGAATGTGTTCCTTAGATCATGGTCGGCAGTCTTCACCCACAGGCCACATCTGGCTCTTCTGAATGATTTCCACATTTTTAAGTGGTTGAAAAGGAATGAAAAGGGTGATATCCTGTGACATGTGAATATGATACGAAACTAAAATTTCAGTGTCCGTAAATAAAGTTGCTTTGGAACACAGCTCTACCCATTTGTGCAAGGATTGTCTGACTGCTCTTGCACTACATCAGCAGAGTTGAGGATGTAGCTGTGACAGAGACTGCGCGGCCGGTGAAGACTAACGTGCTAACTGTCCGGGCCCTTCACAGAAGAGTTGGCGGGCTTCTGTCTTAGAACAGAGTCCCGCAAAGCAAGGGTGGAGTAGGGACCACACGGAGGTGAGCACATCCTGAAATCAGCAAGACACGCTCTCGGAGTAAAGGAGAGAACATTTTAAATATTTGGGTGGTAATTTTCACTACATTCTTCCCTTTTTTTTCTGCTTTCGCTCTCTATTTCAGGCAGAGGGAGCGCTCATCTGTGCACTGTGAGCGGTACTGTATTTCAGACCTCCGGCAGGAAAGTCCCCATTGTCAAGTCTGCCCCAGAGCGGTCAGCCAGGATCCCTCCTAGGGGAGTGGATCCAGTCCTTTTGGAGTTAGTTTCTTTTTTCCTTGAACAAAGGAAAAAAATGCTGAAAGTAGATACTGTTTGATGGATGGAGCCTTCTGACCGAGTGGACCTTTGTGCTGACTTAGCACTTCACTGGGGGTTCTGGGGGTTAGGTGACTAAACGTCTGGTGATCTGAAACTCCCTCCACTGTTTTCTTTTTAATATTTAGTTTATTTTTAGAGAGAGGGGAAGGAAAGGAGGAGAGACCCATCAACGTGTAGTTGCCTCTTGCGCCCCCTACTGGGGACCTGGCCCACAACCCAGACATGTGCTGACTGCATGCACATTGAATTGGCAAACCTTTGGTTCTCAGGCCAGCATTCAGTCCACCAAGCCACACAAGCCAGGGCCGAAACTTTCTTGGCTCTTGCAGGAACTAAGGGGACAGCTCTGGGTTTGGTAGTTGAATCACAAACCTTCGGGAAGCTGATGGCATGATTTTGTCCTTCCGGCCTCATGGGAACTTTTCCCGCAACCCCAGACCTCAGGTCATCCTTTATCAGAGCTTATTGCCAACTTGGGTCACCACATGAGAGCTCCATGTCTGTTTCTGGTCAGGCGGACACCTGGCACAGAGAGAGCTGGCCTGGCATAGAGTCAGGGCCACCAAGAGGCCTGGGCAGGCACGGGGTCCGTGAGCTTTAGGTTTTTGTTAGTAGTTAGGATGAGATGTTACAACAAAGGAAAGTATAGTACTTTTCTTTCACAATGTCCTTACATACATCTTCTCACTTGACCTTTTGACAACCTGTGGTCAAGGAAAAAAACATGAAGCCAAACAGATAAGGGTTTGAAACTCCCTGCCCACTTACTGGGTCTTAATGCCAGCTACTGAGTCTTTCTAAGCCTTAGTTTCCTCATCTGTAAAATGGGGATGCTATCCCAACTCCTCATGGGGTTGGTGGGAGGAATAAATGGCATCGTGGGTAAGGTTCCAGGGTGGTGTCTGCTCGACGCTGCCTTTCACTCTCATCGCCCTGCCTTTCTTCCAGCGGAGAAGACTGAGTCCTGCAAGCTTTAAGGGATCTGCCCAAGGTGCCTCACCTCCTAAGAGTTAGAGCCCAGGCCCCAGGCTATCAGCCTGCCAGTAGGTTTAAAGGTAAGGAACCAAGTGTCCTTGGGAATTCCTGGCCTCCTCCCTGTTAACCGGTTCAGATCCAGGGACCTCAGCTGCAGAAAGCCACAGTGTCGCCTTCTTGTGTGTCCACGGGACGCCGTGATTTCCTTGAGACCTGACCCATGCTCCATACATGTTAGCCAAAGGCTGCACAGCTCTGTGACTTTGTGCGCGTGCCTGTTCCCCCTCACGCCCCCTTGCCTGGCTTTTAAGAGGAGCCACTCAGGGATTCTCCGTGCTTGAAACCAGAGTCAGTTTCTGAGTTTATCAAAGTAACGCCATTTCATTTCACATCGATGAGATGCTGTAGGAACTTAACTCTTCTTTGCATCAAGTCACCTGTGGTAAGGTTGGCTTCACTGTGTATTTTTCACCACAGTTCCCAGAACCTGCCAACGATACTAAGCGAGGGCGCACCGGAAAGTCTTGCTTTCTAGACCATGAGCTCTTGCTTCCTCTTTTCTCCTCTGGACTTTCCCCAGAGGAAGAGAAAGCAGAAGTCTCAGGCCTGCGGACTAGCTGAGGGCCATCACCCAACTCAAGGCGTAGAGAGCAGGGACTCGGGGCGGAGGCTTGGCCCTGTGGAGAACATCTGCGTGAGAACTCTTCTGTGCCCGTGGGAGCCCAGGGGACCTCCTCCCGCTGGCCTGCTAGTGTGCTCCTTGTTGATTATGATTTTGCCTCCTGGTGTTGGAAGTGAGGGCCTGGGCGTTTGTGTGTCCCAGCCTGGGTTTTGCTTCCCGTCCCATCTTTTCTGTGAGGAGGTAATTCTTTATCTTCTGGTCCCATGAGGGGAGACTGAGCCCAGGGCTCTGGGCCCAGAGCCTCGGCATCAGGCCACATCAGAGGACACACCTCTCAGGGCCAGCCCCAGGCCTGGCTGGGGGGTGCTGTGTACTAGGGCAGGTCCTCAGTCACTCCCCCTAACCAGACAGCAGGCCCACCCAACCATCAAGGGCCCATGGGAGCGGTGCCCAGTCTGATGGCAGGGGCAGGGAAACAAAAGGCATCCACCCTTCCGCCCAAGAGCAAGGTCTTTCTTTGGCTGGCACGCAGGGCGCACCTGAGCCAGCAGGGACATGTGATTGCTCCTTCTAGGAGGGCCTGATCAGAATGGCTGCAAGATGGTTTTACCTGTCGGCCCTGGCACTGTCGGCCCTGGGCTTGATGTGCATCCTGTTTACCGTCTACTGGATGCAGAGCTGGCATGGTGGCTTTGCCTGGGACGGCACCATATCCATGTTCAACTGCCACCCGGTGCTCATGGTGGCTGGCATGGTGGTGCTCTACAGCGCTGGTGAGTATGAGGTCAGCCTGGGCGATGCCCCACAGCCCAGGCCTGGAGGGAGCAGAGCAGTTTCTCTCATTTGGATTGTTTTTTGTCACCCTTGGGTGCAGGGCTATGGAGGTTGGGCGGGTGGGTCTGTGTGTGGGCCTAGGTGTCATCTGGAGGCAGTAGCAGTGAGAACGAGGGCATCTGAGAAGGGCGGCCTCACAGATACACGGCTAGGTCAGGGGTTGTCAAAATTTTTCTTCAAAGGGCCAGGCAGTAAGTATTTGAGGCTTTTTTGGCCCCATAACGTGTGTTACAGCTTCTCAGCTCTGCTGTTGCGTTGCGAGAGTAGCCACAGACAACGCGAAAACACACTCATGGCTGTGTTCCAGTAACACTTTACTTACAGAAGTACCATATTTTGCTGTGTATAATGCACACTTTTTTTGCCCAAATTTTTGAGGGAAAAGTAAGGATGTGCATTATACATGGGGGGTGCTTAACACACAGTTTTCACATGGGTGCACATCATGCACAGGAGCTCGTTAGACACAGCAAAATGTGGTAGGTGGCGGGCTGGATTTGGCCTGGGAGCTGGAGGTTGCCATCCCTGCTCCAGGGAGCAGGAGGCTGAGGCCCCTGGCGGCACGGTGGTTCCCGACATGAGGGATCTGCCCGCTCCTGCCAGACCCTTCCGCCCCGTGCATTCAGAGCGGGGCCGTGGGCCCAGGAGGGCCTCCGTTTCCTCACTTGCACAGTGGGAATGAGAGTGACATTGACAGTGGCAGTGTGCCTCATGTGCTTCAGACACGGTATCCCATTTATTGCTTGCAAGGGGGGCTCTGTTGCTATCCCCATTCTACAGCTGAGGGAACTGGGACTTAGAAAGAAGATGCCAAATAGCCAAGAGGCAGAGCCAGGTTTGGGACCTAGGTCATCCAACCTTACAGCCGCTGTTCTCGATAGCTAAGCGCGCTGTGAGAATTCAGGTAGATGGAACAATGAGCAACACCGCTTTCAGCACTTCCTTGTTCCCTCTCTGGGAGGCTGAGTGGGGCCGTGTGGGGCCCATTGCCCTCGTGGGCGGTGACCACGAGAGGAAGAGGCCGAGCCTGGGACTGCTCTCTCCCCCAGCGTCGCTGGTGTACCGCCTGCCCCAGTCCTGGGTGGGGCCCAAGCTGCCCTGGAAAATCGCCCACGCGTCCCTGCATCTGATGGCCTTCGTCCTGACCGTGCTGGGGCTGGTGGCCGTCTTTACATATCATAACAATAACAGAATCACCAACCTCTACTCGCTGCACAGCTGGTTGGGCATCACCGCCGTCTTCCTCTTCGCCTGCCAGGTGGGTGCTCTCCACCCTCCTCTGGTTCCCACTGCTGAGTGGCAGCCATGGGCTCTGGTTGGGGCTTTGCTTGCAGCAGCACCAAGTATTCCCTCTGCTCGCTGCCTGGAGACAGCCTTCGCCGGCACAGCCTGCAGAATGCGCAGTTTAAAAGGCCATAGGAGGTGGTGGTTCCTCTATTCACCCTGCTCTGCCCATCTGTCATTCCAGTGCACTCTGAGCAAGGGAGTTTTAAGATCCAGGACTGGAAGGCAGCAGAGACAAACAAGGATGGCTGTGTTTGCGGGAGAGAGGGGTTGTAGCTAAGTGTTCCATGAAAGGTTCTCGTTTATGTAAGAGAGACCGACAGACCACACTGAGGAAGCTTGGTGGTGCTGGGGCAACTCCTGGTGGAAGGTTTGAGTTGGGAAAGGGAGAAGGTTCACTGAGCAGTAGCAGGCGCTGGTGAGATGGGACGACCTGGGGTGCCTTTGGTCACACAGGTGGGTCTGGTACTTCTCCCTGTGTCCACAGTGGTTCCTGGGCTTTGCCGTCTTCCTGCTGCCCTGGGCATCCTTGTGGCTGCGCAGCCTCCTAAAACCCATCCATGTCTTCTTCGGAGCCTCCATCCTCTCGCTGGCCATTGCCTCTGTCATCTCTGGCATTAATGAAAAGCTTTTCTTCAGCCTGTGAGTGGAATGGGGCCCCAACTCTAAGGTGGAAGGAAAGAATCATCTTCAGAGACATGCCTGTGCTCACTGGAGCCATCCAAGGGTGGGGTGCAGGGGGCTTTGAGCTTGGGCTCATTCCAGATCAGGATGGTAACGGTCTTTCTTTAGGTTGAGATCGGTAAGTCAGTCAGTAGGAGTTTCTCCAGCATCAAGTTGGCTTAGTCCCTACTGTGTGTCAAACTATTCTAAGCACCTTAAATTTACCCCCGTAATTGCCCCACAACATCAGTACTGTTGTCATTGCCACTTACAAATGCAAGACCTGAGGCAGAGTCCCCTCAGGGGTAGAAAGCATTCTGCAGACAGCTGTTGTGGCTGGGACTTCGAAAGTGTGTCAACATTCCAGGCCTCTGTTAGTGGCGCGGATTCCCCCGCTGGACAAAAGTAGGTGGAAAAGTCTCTCAAGGGCCCACGCTGTTTCACCATCTTCAGGAAGAATGCGACCAGGCCGTACTCCAGCCTGCCCGGCGAGGCCGTGTTCGCCAACAGCACCGGGCTGCTGGTGGTGATCTTCGGGCTGCTGGTGCTCTACATCCTGCAGGCTTCGTCCTGGAAACGCCCGGAGGTGGGCGTGACGGCTGAAGGACAGGTATGGGGTCCTGGTCTCCCACGCCAGGGTGGGGGAGGGCCAGGTCTAGAAAAGGGTCACCAGAAGAGGCCGAGGCCTTCCCCGGAAGAGACTAACCCAGTGACACCGTGGGAAACCAGGTAGCTAGAAGGTGGGGTTAGGTTAGCCCGTGGGAAGCTCTGGTGCCAGGCAGCACATCCCAGCCACCACAGCAGGTGCAGCTGCTCAGGCTGTGGGTCTCCCGGGGACCTGTCCACTGGAGGAGGACGGGTGGTTTCATGAGGGGAAGCATGGCCTTATCTTCCCCAAGGAAGGGCTTGAGCATGACGAGGGTGTCAGAGCTTCTACTTTTCCAGCTTTGGAGCCTAGTGGGATGGGAGCTTACCTAGCAGGTGCTTGGTGACGAGTGGAGCGCTTGGAGCAGGCTATGCCTTTTCTTGGCCACTCAGGCAGCCGAGGGATGGGGCAGGACGGGGTGTGTAGCGGGCTGAGGGGCTTTGGGGGCACTACTCTATAGGTTGGGGTCTGTATGAACTGCTCGGCCGGTGCAATGCCTGCAGGCCAAGGACCACAGTGACACATGCCATTGACCCCTGTGCCTCTGCTTGTCTTTCCAGCCCCTGTTGCATGAAAGGGAGTGAAGCAGGAAGGGGCTCGCAGGAGCAGTCAGGGGTACGGTGGGACTCCCCTCAGAAGCCCTCCTGTACCTGGGCCCTGCTCGGATCTTGTCAATAGACTTGTTTTGGGCTCGGGACCCTGACCTCTCCCTCCCTCCGTGTTGGGCCTGCTCTCTCCACTAACTGGCTGTCCATGGCTTTTCTTGGGGGCTTTGGCTCCTACACCCCTTCTCGGCGCTGGCTTCTGAAGTCCTCCACTTACATAGGCCCTTCTTGCCCTGGCTGCTCCCACCACTCCTGCTGTCTGGCTGAAGTCAAGCTGATTTCCCCTTTAGGCCCCTCGGGATATGGCAGGAAATCCCAGTGGCTCAGACGAGCCGGACTCAAGTGCAGTCTGTGATGTGGAAAGTGAGGGAGGTGACGCGCCCCTCAGCTTCCTTGAATATGTGCATTTCATTTAGGCGCCCACTGTGGGGTGGGCCCTCTCCTCTCTGTTACCTCCACCTGGCCATCCTGGACGTGAGGCCGGGCAGGACCGTCAGGTGATGGAAGGGGAAGGCAGAGCACCCTCTGCAGAGGAGAAGCTGAGGCGCTGACTGCTCTTCTCCCATCTCTGCCTTCTGTTTGTGTCCACTGTGGCCATGTAGGTCCACCCCCTCTAGCTGCGGCTACAGCTGGGGCCTGGATGCTGGCCGTCCTTGTGGCTTGCATGCCCATCACTGTCAGGCAGCCCAGTGAGTGCCGGTAACCTGCTGTCCCCAGCTGTCCCAACAGGGATGGGTAGCAGGGGTGCCCCAGACTCCCATTACTTTCCTTCCCAGAGGAGGGTTCTCTGGGCAGGTTCGACCTTGCTCTCTCGGCAGGGCCCTCCCTCAGCTGTTTCACACTCCAGCCCGCCATGACATATGCCAGAGTGTGGCGCTTTGTACCCAGCAGAGCCCAGGAGCCCTGGCCACCTTCACAGGTGTTTTTTGCTGAGAATCTGAGTGCCTCGCTTGCCCCCCACCATGGCTAATGCAGGGCCAAACCCCGTCTTGTGCGCTACCCTCGAATGAGAGCTCCAGCTGTTTCTAGGGGCGGGAGACGGGGGAATCTGGCTCCTCTCCTACGTATAGGCGCTGTGGCTTTTCCTGCCCCCCAAGATGAGTCCTGCTGGGTCTCGGGGCCACACTGGTGTGCTTAGGTCACAGGCACCATGACACCAGGGGCCCAGGGTGTGCTGACTCTCTGGCCAGTGGCAGCCCCACACACAACCCCACGTGGCCAGGTGCCAGCAGAGTGACTGTGACTAAACCTCTCCAGTGACTGAAGGCTTCGAAGCCGTTGGGGTGACTGCCAGGTACCTCGGTCACATGGTACATCACATGGGTAGGCGTTTCACTTGTTTATGAAGCCTGATTTTCATTAAATTTGTTTTTAAGACTCAGTCTTTTCTGCTGAGATTGCACTGAAATGAGCTCTGGGCAGCGAGTAAGTCTCAGGACATTTCTGACACTAAGACCCGGAGAAGGATGAGTCAGAAGTCACTGAAGATCCACATGATTCTCTTCCTGGAGCCGCAGGCCACTCCTGGGGTGTGCGGGTGTCCCTAACACTGAATGGCCTTTGAACACCTAGTTATTGCACAAGGAAGAAGTGTCTCCTGTCTGATAATCTGGAACACAAGGAGAAGCGACTCGCTTGTGGTTACCCAACCAGGAAGTGGCAGAGAGGGGAGCCGCAGGCCGGTGTCTGATGCCAGAGCCTCCTCCCTGGCTGCTGGGTGTGTGCATCTGTGCGTGCTGACCACTGCACCTTTTCGTCAGCGGCCTTGGGGTGGCTGCTGGACAATGGACTGTGGGCAGAGAAGCCTGGGGACTGAGGGAGCCTGCAGTCAAGTTGGGGCAAAGTGAACCGGCCCCTCCCTCCCAGTGTGACCAGCTGTAGATGCCCCCTGGTGGCAGAGCAGGTGACCTGGCAGGACCTGGATGCAGACGCCAGCGGCGACAGTAACTCCCAGTGGGTGAGCCCAGGACTGTGCTGAGGCCTCCATTTCAATCCTTTTCCACAGCCCACGAGATGGGGACCATTCTGATTTTCCAAGAGGCCCAGTGACAGGCCCGAGTTTCCGCAGCTGGTCTGGAGCAGCACCAGGGTCCACTGCCATGCGCGTGTGCGCCCACACTGGTCCCTGTAACTGCTCCCTGGCACGGAGTGCGGGTCACGTCCCGTCCGCTGTGCGCCAGACTTGGCAGTGCCGTCAGCGGCTGCTCTAGAGACCCCGGGGGCCGGCCCGGGTGCGGTCTCTTCCACCACGGAGCCTTAGGGTATGGTGGATTTCCCCCTCGGTGTCCCACTTGAATCCTGAAGAATCGGTGGGTTCTGTTGCTGTGGTGCTGAGACAAGCCACCATCAGGGCTGGTGTGTGTTTCAGGGGGAGGAAAGGATTGGGGACCCCAGCGAAGCCGACCCTGCTGTGCAGACCTGCCTCTGGGTCTCAAGTGGTGGGACGTGGGCCATGATCACCTCCAGTGGGGGCTGGGGTCTCGGCCCCCAGGGCAGCAGTGGGGCCACCTGTTCACGCACTTGGGAAAAGGTCCCTCAGAGGAAGCAGGAGCTCTGCTGCATCAATGTGGTTTATTAGCTTGCTTTTCCACACTGGCTTCAGGTGCAGAGGGCCTTTTCCAGAAGGTCTTAAAACAGTTAGCAAAGCCAGTTAAAGACTGTGCTGCTGCCCAGGAAAAAGAGTGGGTTGGCCCCAAACCCCAGGACCCCACCCTTCCTGACAGAGAGGGCAGTGCTGAACAGGCAGGCCACCCACTCGGCCTGCAGCTTCTACACTGGAGCCGTTCTGGAGGCTGGATTCAGAGGCTGGGCCTGAGAGGCCAGGGAGGGTGACAGCTGGGAGGCGGAAGGACGCGGCAGTGGCTGCCTCTGCTCGGCCCCGAGAGAGGCCCCGAGAGAGGCACGGAGGCCCAGGGAGCGGTCAGGCGCCCTGGCTCTGCAAGACCTCCAGGATGGCGCGGAAAATGGCTGCGGCTGCCACTGCCCCCGGGTCCGGCTGGTCCAGCCGTGCTGAACTGATGTAACTGGCTCTTCCAGCTCCAGCCTCCATGTTCCTGGTGGCCTGGGCTGCAGCTTCTGCGCTCTGGGGGGCCGGGGTCAGGAGGGGCAGGTGTAAGCACAAGCCACCAGGCCCCTTCCTGCCATCGACCCTGGCCCTCCTGCCCCAGCTCTGCTAGGACCCTCTGCCCTGTCACCAGGGTAGAGAGGTACCTCCCATTGGTCTCTGGCAGGACCAGGGGCCCCAGTCACTGCAGGGCTGCTATGCCCCAGATACCATGCTGGGGAGCTATTTGTCCCTTTAGCTTCACAGTGCCCTCTGAGACAGGTACTCGTCTCCATTTTCTGGTGTGGAAACCGAGGTACAGGGAGGGTGTTAACTTGCTCCAAGCCTGTTCCCCTGGGTGGCAGGGCCCAGCCTCACTCACCTTGACAGCTTTGGTTAGGGTTGGTAACAGGTCTGCCCTCGGGCTCTTCCAGGCTTGGAGCTCCTGTCCTGCTGCCCACAGAGAGTCCAGCTGCACAAGGTGAGGGAGAGGGGAGCTCAGCACAGGCCTTGCCACTGAGGGGTGGGCTTCAGGGCCTCTATAAGGGGGAAGGGCTGGGCCCATACACACCATAGTCCTGTCCCCCGGGGCAGCCTTTCCGTACCTGCAGGGGAAGAGAACAAGTGAGGTTCACTGTAGCGAATCACTTTGAGGGTGGGGACAGGGCCTGGCTGGCAGTAGGTGACAACAACCACATCACCCGGCCACCCCTGGTCTAAGGCACAGGGCTCTGGCTCACTTCTGCATGGCCTCCAGGCCGGCATCCATGGCAGCAGACCAGGATGGGAGGTCAGTCTTGGCCTTGAGGGGCTGGGCCGCTGCAGTCAGGAACAGGCCGTAGAGCTGGGGAGGACCAGGACTGAGCACTGGGTCTGGCTCGGGCCCCAGCCAGCCCGAGACCCCCCCGTGTCAGTCCTCTGTCCCTGGGAACTGCTGGCACTCACTGCACCAGATGAGCCTCCCATCTTCTCTAGAAGCAGGAGGGACAATTTGGAGAGAAGCTGGGCAGGCCTGGCAGGGGGTGGACCCTCCTTCAGCCACTCCTGGATTGCTGCAGACAGAGAGATGGGGAGGAGTTCAGAGACCGGCCCTCCCAACAAATCCCCCGCACTGCTGCCAGGCAGCAGGAAAGCGCCCTGGACCTGGAGGAGGCTGAGGGGACCCCCATGGAGAGAGTCCAAGGCTCCCTCTCCACGTCCAGTGTGAACTCCAGAGAGGAGTGGGAAGTGGTGACTGTGACCTCGGCAGTCCCCCAGCAGAGAGGCCTGCCTGACCCCCCTCACCTGTCATTCCCACACCTTGCTTCCCTGCTTCATTTTCCTCCCCAGCGCTTTGTACTACGACCCTTTATCTTTTACTGATTGTTTGTTGTTTGTCTCCCCACCAGAGCACAAGCCACGAGGGCAGTGATTTTTATCTGCTTTGCTCACTATTGTATCCAGAGTTGAGAGCACTACATTGTGATAGGCACTAAATACATTTTAAAACTATTTTATTTTGCCTTGGCTGGTATGGCTCAGTGGATTGAGTATCAGCCTGTGAACCGAAAGGTCACCGGTTTGATTCCCGGCCAGGGCACATATCTGGGTTGCGGGCCAGGTCCCTGGTGAGGGACAGTGAGAGAAGGAACTGTTCCATGTTTCTCTCACAAGTTGATGTTTCTCTCCCTCTCTCCTTCCCTTGGCTCTAAAAATAATAAATAAAATCTTTAAAAGAGAAACATCAATCAATTGCCTGTTGTATGTGCTCCCATTGAGGACTGAACCCACAACTCAGGCATGTGCCCTGACTGGGAATCAAACCTGCAACCTTTTGCTTTGTAGGACAACGCTCAACCAATTGAGCCACAGTGGTCAGGGCTAAATACATCTTTCTTGATCAAATGATGCTATACAATTGAGAACTGTTCACTAGTCCAGGTAAGCCAAGAAAAATAAGAACTACAGAATAAGTTCCCTTTGAATCTAAAGTTATTATTTGCTGCAAAACGGTACATTTTGTTCTACAGTAACGACCTTCCCACACTCGTAGTATTAGAAGGGCCGTTTCTCTATGAGAACAGGTGGAAGGGGTGCTAGGTTTCATGATGTGACCCCAGCCCCTCCCTGACCCCAGAGGGGCCCTGGCACCAACCTCTGGCAGCGCGACTGTGGGTGGTGCCACAGTCCCCATCGCCGGCGGCGCGGTCCAGGGCATTCAGGTGCTCCTCCAGGCCCAGCAGGGTGCTGCAGACCCGTTCCAGCACGAGCACCATCCGCTTTGAGGCTGAGCCTGGAGGGGAGAACAGCGAGGAAGAGGCATGCCTGGCCCTTGCCTCTGCTGAACTTGAAGGTGTGGGACACATGAGTGTCAGCACCCCTGCGCATCCCCCACCCTTCGGGGCTCAGGCCAGTGGCCCGGGCCATCTGCCCCAACAGCAGGACCCGGTACCTCCTGCAGCAGTGGAATCGGGGGCCTCCACGGGTGCGGTGGGGGCTGCCCTGGTCCGCTTCCGCCCAGTCACGGAGACCCTGGGCACGGCAGGCCAGGCCGACGCGGTGGTTTCAGCATCTAGTGACAGCAGGAGGACTCTCTTAAACATAGGTCGGCTGGCCAGGGTCAAGCGGGGCTGTCCCTGGGGAGGACCCTAGTTCCAATCCCCCCAGTCCTGTGAGAGCTGGAGAAGGCCGGAGCTGTCAGAAAGGGCCTGTCCACTCACGGGGGACTGACCCCCATGGTTGGCCCTGATGGGGTCTCTCCAGGTCTCCCTGGCTCCTTCCAGCTAGGAGGGGCCCTGGTGTGGATGGCCCCAGGTTCCAGGTCTCACCGATCAGTTTCAGGAGGGGCTCGTCCACCAGCAGAAGGGTGAGAGAAAGGCCGGGCATCTCCAGGGCCGACATGAAGGTGCCCACCAGGGCACGGGCAATCTTGACCCCACGGCCCTCTGCAATAGCGAAAGAAGGACATCTGTGAGGGAAGGTGGGAAGGTCCGAACCTCGCCTCCCACCTCCCTGCCCCCACCCCCTCCAGCATCAGATAAAGAAACAGAGTAGGTGAAAAACAAGGACTTTGGAAGCTGGGGCCCTGAGGTCAGGAGGGAGATGGTCAGATCTGCTCAGGGCACTCCTCCGAGATGCCCTAAATTACCGTATTCCTTGGCAAAGTCCTCCCGTGGGGGCAGCTAGGTCATCGAGGTCTCGTTTACCGAGCGCCTCCTGATGCCAGGCTATGTGTGCTATGTATGCTGTGCTGGCTTAGTCTCCTTTAATCCTCAGACAGCCCCACCAGGCAGGCACCACCACTCTTACGCCCCCTTCTACAGACAAGGCCCAGGCTCAGCGCTTGCAGCAGTGGGGTG